TTCCGATGAAGACGTTCGTCCTTTGCTGCCTCGTTTAGCCGTCGATAGTGATCCAATGCATCCCGCACGGGCTGCACTATCAGATCCTGCAAACGGAATACCTCACGAATAAAATGTAACGTCACACATTTCCTTCCTCGCCAACATTTGGTCACACACTTACCTGCAGCTCAGTGAAAAGCTCTCCTAGAGCCTCAAACAGAGGCAGTAACACGAATCCAATGAAGCTGCATTGAGAAGATGGCTTGGTGATCTTCTCACGGTCCATGAAGGGGGTGACAGGCAGTCCCTCCAGTTTCTCCGCATCACTCTGCTTGAAGAACTCCTGAAAAGCAACAAGAAACTTCAAGCTCATAACAAAAGTAACTGGACCAAACGCCCTCGCCTCAGTTTCGACTACCGTCAGTTGAGGTGACCTCTTGATGGATTTTTTCTGTTGTCTCTTTTCATTCATTATTTATAGAAACTGTATTACATGTATCCTAGGTCATGGGTCATGTCTGGATATACCATCTCTGAAACTAAAATATTAATTTTGATGGAGATTTATATTGAAGGTATGAACTCAAATTATTGACTAAATTAAATTTTGGTTTGTACTGCTTCATTATAAACTCCTTTACATGCAGCTCAGTCAGACTTTTATAAGTTTAATCAGAATCAGCCCATTATAAATAATGTGTACATAATACAAAATAAAGATCTCATTAAGTTCTACAACTTCAGTTCGCAACCATTTTCAACATAACTTTGAACAGCGACACGATAAAAGGGACAAGGCGAACAGCACGTTGCTAGCTGTAAGCTGTTCCATCAGAAAATCAGTAAAATGAGGAATGCGATATGTTTTAGGAAAACGGACTGTGAACATGTGAAGTGGATTGAACTAGCTCAGGATAAAGTTCAGCGTTGAAACTTTGAATTCTACATATTGTAGAGTTAGTTTGTCAAATTATTACTGATGGATCACAGGTGGGGGTCCGCAGTGGCCGAGCGGTCTGAGGCGTGGGCCTTGTGCCCCTTGGTCGCTGGGACCGTCGGTTCGAATCCCACTCAAGCCATGGTCGTTTGTCCGCGTTTTTCTGTGTTGTGTACAGGTAGAGGCCTTGCGACGAACCGATCCCTCGTCCAAGGAGTCCTACCGAAATGTCCATAGATCAAGCCAACGAAAAGTTGAGACCCGCAGTGATCAGGCACTTGAAGGACGGATCGTTCCCAGTATCCCAGTACCCCTCTGAGCGACAAAAGCAACATTGGCACTTGTGTTATTAGTATACGTATGTGACTCACAATTTTCGATACTGATTACTGCCTGAAAATGCAAACTAAAAATTTACCTCAATGTGCCTTGTAGTGACCATTCACGTACACCACAAAAAGTACCTCAACCACGTCAACTACTCAACTTGTCACCCAAAGCATCACGAAGCGAACGGACCACACGCCCTTCTCGTGAATACACCATGTTCGTATCTGCACAGCTTTTGTGTAAGTGGTGTGAACAACGGCCTAGCAACTAATCACGGAGTAGTTTGGGAGAGTCTATTACACGAGGCTGAACCTACTTTTGATTTCATCTTTGTTGTGTAGTAAGCGATTTTCGGTGAGTTGGATTTTAAATTGTCCATCCTGCACAATATAGACCAACTACAATAACCTAAACTAAACGCCATTTTTTCTTTAAACCTTAATTACCTTTAAAACATCAATTGACATTATGGAATAATAATAATATTTTATTGATACACTATATGCTTACTGTCCAAAATAATATCAATTTCTGGTGTTGTTATTTTGTATGGTTGTGTTTGTAATTTGACTTTGATGGTGAAACGCCATATGCGACCAGGAATGCAAAATGTCGGCTTGCAGGATGTCCTAATTTTCGCGAAGTCCGTTGTTTCGGACTTCCAACGAAGATAAGACGACGTCAGCCAAGCACAAGAACATCAAGTTAACGGGGGAAGTACATAGAAAAACTTAAAGCATTTGAGGACGTGTATTATAATTTTTAAAACAAAGTGACAATGGAAAGCAGTGAGTACGAACTTGTCCGCAACTTGACTTTGCTTTTCTTTCTTGAGCGACTTCTGGATAAAGGCGGGTCTAGGACATTGCACGATTTGAGCTGTCAGTTCGGCGCTAAGGGATTCACGAAAGAAATGCGCCAAATTGCTGAACTGTCTTCTGGGATTTTGTACCATGAAGTCTGGTAGAAAGTAATCAGCTTTTTGAAAGTGCTTACTGCCTCCATCATCAGGTTGATTACCCTAATGATGGAGGCAGTAAGCACCCCTGAACTGTAAGTCAGTATCTCCAGACTACATGGTGCAACATCCCAGAAGATAGCCATCTTCAGGAGTGATACTGTACCTGATAGATATTGTTGTAGCCAGGGTGGTCCAGGTCATGGCAGATGCAGGAAGTCAGCAAGATCAGTGTCTCCAGGTCCCCGATCTTACTGGGCAATTTCACGCACCACACCATGGAGTACATCTGCCATGCACATGAAACATTACAATGCAGTTCTAGAGATCAATAATACAATTGTCAGTCGGAGGTTTGCGTGTGGCTTCTGCCCTAAATCGTAAGAGCAATACGACTGTCCGTCAATCGCTGGTTGCTAGGACGTACTGTGGCTGGCACAATGTAATCACATGCTTCCTACATTTAACAACCCTCTGAATATATTGTTTTTGCTCCCTGTTGCACAAACCTCCTTGAGAAACTAATAGTTGCTCAGCTATTCAAAAAATACCCTGTCTTTGACGGAACTCAAAGACTTAATTTCTGTTAGATCCCATCCTGAACTAACTAACTAACCAACTAGACGGCTTATGCAACCAGAAAGTTCATCACCGAATTAACCAAAGCCCTCCACCGGACTCTGTCCTGGGCCAACAAAATCCAGTCTCCTTCAACTCCTATCTCCCATAGATTCCGCCTGAGATTATCCTCCCATCTACGTCTATATCTCCCCAGAGGTCTCTTCCCCTCAGGTTTCCCAACCAGTACCCGGTGCACACCTCTTGTCACATCCATGCGTGCTACATGCCCCGTCCATCTCATTCTTCTCGACTTAATCACCTTAATCATCTTAAGCAGGAACGCAGGGTTTAAATCCCTGCGTTACAGAGCCAACAGCCGGTCTGTAGCTCCAGGGTTCAGAGGTTTAGTTGTACGCCACTGCGACCCATGGACATCTTTACGTCATGGAAGTTATGGCACACAGCTGATAAAGGTAAAGATCCATCTTAATATTTTCCTTCCACTTTTCTCTAGGTATGTTAAGTGGTCTCATCCTTTCATGTTTTCTGACCAAAATGTCACAAATTTCTCATCTTTCCCATGACTCAGCCATCTCACCCTCGTTGATTTTACGACCCCTAACAATATTTGGTGCAGAGCAAAAATTCTCCACTTAATGGTACCTGCACCTTGTCGTGTTGGTGGGGCTGAGTACCTCAGTGACCCCAAGAGCTACTGGTAGGGCCTCCCTAGCCAGATTGGTTGAGGGGGAGAGGTACCCTGGTCCTCCAGGTTGGGAGTTGGTCGCAAGGCTAACAACCTTGAACCATAAAAAGGAAGATGTTTCGAAACCTCGATCAAAGCCTTGGACAGACGGACCGAATGGAAGAGGATAATTGAGGAGGCCGTGGAACGAATACGGACTGGAGAGCCATAGAAGAAGAGGAATACCAAAAATTATGAAGCTTATCATTAAGACAGATTCTGTTTTGTGATATCATGCCACCTAGTCTGATGTTGGGAAGGAGAGGCATCAGAAACGCACTCACCATCTGCGCCACACAGAAGCAGTGTCTGAAGTTATGGAAGGGCACCTCATTGTAATTCTTGTAGACCTCATAGAGGAAACTGCGCAGAGTTGGCAACTCAATGCCAAACTTTGTTGTGAGGTCCAGGTCCACGTACATCTGTTGCAGCAGCAAGAGGATCTCCTCATCCTCCCACTGGTGGCAGTCGAACGTGGGCTGACGCAGGTAATGGCGCACCTCCTCCGACACTGCCACGTCACTGCAACGACGACATTATTTGCAGATGTGGACAAAACTACACGAGACTACGCGATCTCGCGTGAAATGACAAACAATTTACATTTCGAATAAAAATTTCCAGCCTAACTTTGCACTCTGGTGCTACGTTCTATGCAGACCCTGTGACTGTCTCACTGAAACGCTCACCAGATGCTGAAGAACTTGTCCCTCACACGACGTTTTTCTTCTTCACTCTTACGTCGATACTGCAGCCTCCTGCAAGCCTCGGTTGATAGCGGGGGTGGAAGCTCTTTGTAGAACCCTGCGCAGACACACAGTTTATGACTTCTTTTTTAAATTAAAGTAAAACTTATATTTAAATCTAAAACTTCTTGACGATGGTGAAGAGTCAATTGAATAAAAATTTACTTGGATATTATCCATCGTCTAGTAATAAAACGTAAAAAAACGTAAAAAACGACGTTTCGGAGATGAGACTCTATCTCCGTCTTCAGGTTCCTATTCAGTTGGGCCCACTAGATAGAGCTAATCCCTATCTCCGGACAAATTAAAAAAGTGAAAGTCCCAGAATAAAAAGGCATAACTACACCATCCATCCGTGGGACGTAAAAAAGTAAATAGTAGAAATAAAGTTCGTAAAACACGATAAAGATACAAACTCACAAAAAGTGGGAATAAATACACAAGAATATTAACTTGAAACTCGATGCCCACTTTGGATTTCTTGAGAGATGACTTATATTAATATGAAGATTTCCGTCTTCTGGGTTGTTGCGCTGTGTAGTCTGGTCGATGTGTACCAACGTTTCGGAGGTCATACTGCCTCCGTCATCAGGGCGATGAGTATGAAGATTTCTGTCTTCTGGGTTGTTGCGCTGTGTAGTCTGGTCGATGTGTACCAACGTTTCGGAGGTCATACTGCCTCCGTCATCAGGGCGATGAGTATGAAGATTTCTGTCTTCTGGGTTGTTGCGCTGTGTAGTCTGGTCGATGTTTACCAACGTCTCAGAAGTCATACTGCCTCCATCATCAGGGCGATGAAACGTTGGTAAACATCGACCAGACTACACAGCGCAACAACCCAGAAGACAGATATCTTCATACTCACCGCTGTGAGAACCTCAAGTCTTATATTAATATCATTTTAAAAAATTAAAATCTATGTAGCGTTGCTACAAATTAAGCACACACACGTTCAAAAACGTACGTGGAACAGAGAAATTGTCATGCAAAATTTTTTTGTTAGTGCAGACTGAAATAATTTCACTCAAAAAATTTATCATCAGAGACAGTCAATATGAGCTCAGTTGATGATTCTGACAACAACCAAGTGATAAAGAAATTCCTCTCGAATGTTTTGTATGGATCACAAATTTGAGGTCGTCATACTCGGCTCAAGGTCACCAACCGATCTCCATCTAGGGGGCATGGTTTAGGGCTTTGATGGTTAATGCGTTTTCCAGGAACTGTTTCTTTCCCGTTAGAATCGAAAACTTACGAAACGAAATATTCTGACGTACTGTTTCAGTTGACACTACGTAAAGTTTTCTAGGGCAAATAATTTGTTCAGAATAAACTCCTTATGTTGTACTTTGATTGAAATGAAGTAGCTGGCTGTAAATTTATTTAATGTGGCAAGGTACAGTCACTGTAATAAAAGACTATTGGTGCTGGCTCGGTGTCAAGGCACTGCACAGCGTGTCTTTATGGCTAGTCCAGCGAAAGATGAAACCAATAAAATCCTTTTCTCACTTGCAGTGTCCTTGTGATGGATCAATGGATATCTCGAGATACGAGGGAACTGAGTGACAGCCGATAGTGTGGACGTCCTCCTCTGGGGATAACCAACCACAAAGAAACCAACTGATGAGAATGTGAGAGGGGCTTATGGCGTACAATTGCGGACTTTTTTTTTAGTAATTAAATGGCATTCCTTTAGCTGATGAGGTCATCTTTAGATGGAAGACAGTAATTTCAATCTTCTGGTTACAGAATAAATTTGACATTACTTTTAAAGCGACGTGACACATATCAACGCAGTTTCTCAACCAAAATTCACTATAAAGCTTGCAGAAAAAAAAATATCCATACGAGAAGAATTGAAAATAATGTCACGGAGCTTCGATCTGGGGCTGGGGAGGAAACCCAGGCCACAGGACAGGGTTCGAGGGTAATGAATTGCACTCAGCGCCTCGAGAAAGCGGAAAACGATAGTCACGTTTAATTTCCCGGCGACACAGATTTGCAATTGTAATCGGCTGGATGAAGAAAAGAATGGAGCGTCAGTGGTTATCCGCTCAGATGCGTCGCCCGCTTTGTTACTACAGAGGGGAGAAAATGTTCACAGGATGAATAAAAAGCCCTCTAGAAGCCACAAGTCTTTCAGATCAATACAACAGTTAAAGCAGATACTTCCCGCCAAAGTGAATGCGGTCTGACCAGTACGCCGTGGAGCTGGGGCAAACCGTGACCCTGGTACAGCGCGATCGAGGGGGGGAAGGAGAGACCTTTCTTTCAGAGCGGTCATCTACTACACACACGCACACAAAAGACAGACAATTACAACACATTTGAATAAATGCAGTAACGCATCGCGTTCGCTGATAAAGTTCAACGCAAATTTCAATTCTGGCTGGCAGATGGAACTGCATGGCACACACCAGACAGCACCAACAAATAAGCGGGCAATTAAAGGATTAAACATTTGAAATTGCAAAAAAAAAGGAATTCTTGCTCACTCACCCAGCCAGCTGAGGTGTTCTGTTGTCTCCAGTTTCTTCCGGAAGCTGTCCACTTGGTGCTTCAAGTCCTGTACCACGGGTGGAAGCTCCTCAAACTCCATCCTAATTTGCTTCTCCAACCGCGCGACCCTGAAACATAGGCAAGCCCTTTCTCGTCACTGCATGACGCCCTATACTCTGAGTCGGCCCAAATCTGAAGACACGAGATTGGAATGACAGACTCCTGAAAGCGGCAACATCCAGCAGGGAGAAGTAGAAGAAATACAGTCGATTGTGGTCTCCTCGGCATGGCTTTCTAGGTGTCACAAAGAACAAGACCTCCAATCGACCTCAGGCAGGAAGAAATTTTGTTTTCGATGCAAACTGTGAGATACTTGAAGATTTCTGTCTTCTGGGTTATTGCGCTGTGTAGTCTGGTCGATGTTTACCAACGTTTCAGAGGTCATACTGCCTCCATCATCAGGGCGATGAGTATGAAGATTTCTGTCTTCTGGGTTCACAAAGAAACCAACTGATGAGAATGTGAGAGGGGCTTATGGCGTACAATTGCGGACTTTTTTTTTAGTAATTAAATGGCATTCCTTTAGCTGATGAGGTCATCTTTAGATGGAAGACAGTAATTTCAATCTTCTGGTTACAGAATAAATTTGACATTACTTTTAAAGCGACGTGACACATATCAACGCAGTTTCTCAACCAAAATTCACTATAAAGCTTGCAGAAAAAAAAATATCCATACGAGAAGAATTGAAAATAATGTCACGGAGCTTCGATCTGGGGCTGGGGAGGAAACCCAGGCCACAGGACAGGGTTCGAGGGTAATGAATTGCACTCAGCGCCTCGAGAAAGCGGAAAACGATAGTCACGTTTAATTTCCCGGCGACACAGATTTGCAATTGTAATCGGCTGGATGAAGAAAAGAATGGAGCGTCAGTGGTTATCCGCTCAGATGCGTCGCCCGCTTTGTTACTACAGAGGGGAGAAAATGTTCACAGGATGAATAAAAAGCCCTCTAGAAGCCACAAGTCTTTCAGATCAATACAACAGTTAAAGCAGATACTTCCCGCCAAAGTGAATGCGGTCTGACCAGTACGCCGTGGAGCTGGGGCAAACCGTGACCCTGGTACAGCGCGATCGAGGGGGGGAAGGAGAGACCTTTCTTTCAGAGCGGTCATCTACACACACGCACACAAAACACAGACAATTACAACACATTTGAATAAATGCAGTAACACATCCCGTTCGCTGATAAAGTTCAACGCAAATTTCAATTCTGGCTGGCAGATGGAACTGCATGGCACACACCAGACAGCACCAACAAATAAGCGGGCAATTAAAGGATTAAACATTTGAAATTGCAAAAAAAAAGGAATTCTTGCTCACTCACCCAGCCAGCTGAGGTGTTCTGTTGTCTCCAGTTTCTTCCGGAAGCTGTCCACTTGGTGCTTCAAGTCCTGTACCACGGGTGGAAGCTCCTCAAACTCCATCCTAATTTGCTTCTCCAACCGCGCGACCCTGAAACATAGGCAAGCCCTTTCTCGTCACTGCATGACGCCCTATACTCTGAGTCGGCCCAAATCTGAAGACACGAGATTGGAATGACAGACTCCTGAAAGCGGCAACATCCAGCAGGGAGAAGTAGAAGAAATACAGTCGATTGTGGTCTCCTCGGCATGGCTTTCTAGGTGTCACAAAGAACAAGACCTCCAATCGACCTCAGGCAGGAAGAAATTTTGTTTTCGATGCAAACTGTGAGATACTTGAAGATTTCTGTCTTCTGGGTTATTGCGCTGTGTAGTCTGGTCGATGTTAACCAACGTTTCAGAGGTCATACTGCCTCCGTCATCAGGGCGATGAGTATGAAGATTTCTGTCTTCTGGGTTATTGCGCTGTGTAGTCTGGTCGATGTTAACCAACGTTTCAGAGGTCATACTGCCTCCGTCATCAGGGCGATGAGTATGAAGATTTCTGTCTTCTGGGTTATTGCGCTGTGTAGTCTGGTCGATGTTAACCAACGTTTCAGAGGTCATACTGCCTCCGTCATCAGGGCGATGAGTATGAAGATTTCTGTCTTCTGGGTTATTGCGCTGTGTAGTCTGGTCGATGTTAACCAACGTTTCAGAGGTCATACTGCCTCCGTCATCAGGGCGATGAGTATGAAGATTTCTGTCTTCTGGGTTATTGCGCTGTGTAGTCTGGTCGATGTTAACCAACGTTTCAGAGGTCATACTGCCTCCGTCATCAGGGCGATGAGTATGAAGATTTCTGTCTTCTGGGTTATTGCGCTGTGTAGTCTGGTCGATGTTAACCAACGTTTCAGAGGTCATACTGCCTCCGTCATCAGGGCGATGAGTATGAAGATTTCTGTCTTCTGGGTTATTGCGCTGTGTAGTCTGGTCGATGTTAACCAACGTTTCAGAGGTCATACTGCCTCCGTCCTCAGGGCGATGAATACAGAATACAGAAATCTTCATACTCACCGCTGTGAGATACCTACTGTCAAATTTCATAAACTTCATAGACTTCCGGGATTAATTTACCCTAAAAGTCGTATTTCAATCAACATTTTTTCTGTGTCCTCTTTGACGTCCGATAATTCCGGAACCTACAATTTAGAATTTAAGAAACTCACCTCTGTTCCAGTGCCAGGAGATCAATTCCCACCTCGTCCAGAAGCATGCCTGAAACAAAGATTTGACACTTATCAAGAGCATGAGGTGTATCGGAATTTTGTTTTTTGAGCAGACTGACAACACCCGCGAAATTCGCGAAGGATAGCCAGTGTCTTCAGATTACGAAATAAGAGTATCAGCGACCACACAGTGTTGTTGGATAAGTTGGATTTATTCTTTTTAGTGCCAAATTTGATCACAGTAACTGCTAAATGAAAGCCCGTTGTGAGAAATGGTTGCATCTTACTGCTTCCTAATTGAAACTAAACGTCTTAATGAACTAAACTCAAGTTATACAGGAACGAGTTGAAAGAAAAGTAAAGTGTAGTTTAGGTTCTTGAGGGTTACAACTTTCAGGACAAAAAGTTGATAGTGGATCCACGGTTCCGGAGAATTTGACGTAAATACGTCTATACGGAAAGGAAGTTTATATATTGGCTTTATTCTAAATATTTCCTTTATACATGCTTTACAATTGAGTAAAGTTTGATTAAGACATTGCTTATTCAACTTCAATTAGTTACGCTTAAGATGGGTCTGTGGTAGCTGAATGTAATGTAATGAAATGTTTCCTAGGTAACAACAATTCTGAGTAAACAGACGACGTTCCCTAGGTAACCAGGTTACACTTTTTCGTAACACTTTTTTGCTGAATGACCCTTCCTTATAGACGTATTTACGTCAAAAAATAATTATATCCAAGTTATCCTCTTAAAAATCTTTCGTCCGAAACGGCTTTTCAAACCGAGCACCTTTCAGCAGATACCGAGAGCCAACCCACAAACCAAGGCGTTCAAACTTCATAGATTCATTTATAACTTGCTACTAGCCTATATCAATTTATCAAGTACACGTGATTCCACAATCGAAAATAGTTCGCGAGGCTGAAATATGATTTTCCATTCTTCGTAAAAGAAAAAGCTTCATATTTTCGAAACGTCTGTTACAGCAGTGAGATGTCAGATTCTCACGACGACTATGAAGATGGTTTACCTTCTGGGAAGCCGTGTCGTATAATCTGGCAGAAGTTTACCGACGTTTCAGATTTGGTTGCTGTTTTCATCATCATAATCATCGACCTGATGATGGAGGCAGTAAACACATCTGACACACGGCGCAGCACCCCAGAAGACACAGTGTCGTGTCGCGGGTAACCGCTGTGTACTCACCGTTGCAGTGGGCCGCCACGACCTGCAAGTTGTAGCACGTGTCTGGGGTGTTGGACGGTATGGAGGGTGAGATGTTGACCAGACGCCCGTCCGCGGTGTACAACTTCAGGACGTCCCCGGGCCCTGCCTCTGCTGCCGCTCGGAACAGCTCTGCAACAAGAAACAGCCCCAAACGCTTCGTTTAAGCTCGTTTTCCGAACCGGGTCACGTCCAGTTTCGACGTCAAACTTGCCGATGGATGGACGATGAACAAACACTCTCTCTTCTCTTTAAAACTAAGACAAACACAGTGTAAATATTGGATTTAACTGGCTCAAGACCGTGCTTCTGCGATGGTAGCTTTCATATTTCTTGTGTCAAATAATTCTTCTCAGATCTCTGTACTTAATCACCCTCAGTCTGTGTTCTTCCCTTCACGTGAGAGACCAAGAATCTGGCAAACCCTGGCGACTGTCTGCAGCGACTCTGATAGACCGAGAACGGAATGGCTTTCATTTGAAATTCAAAATGTGAGCGTTAAACAAATCAATTAGAGACTGAACGAGATGTGTTTCATACGTTGGAAAGTTGCGTTCTAGAATAACAATCAGCCAACAGGAAATTGAAAGAAGCTATCACTCAAAACATCGCAGGTATGAAAAACTCGTTCTTGCTTTTGTGTGCTGTTTCGTGGATCGCTGACGTCACGAAAAACATTGTGGATACTTTAACCGATTGTTTCAAAACTATTTAGCACGTCTTACCTGAATGTCCCTTCTTGTTCTGTTACAACAATTAAACATTGAGAAGCATTATAATTCAAAATTTTGACTTAATATTGTTAGAAGATGAGATGGTAAAGTTGCGTCATATTGTGATATAATAAATATATATTAACCCTTTGAAGCCGAAGCTCGTCTTCATAATATTTAAGAATCCAGACCGTACCGCGAAGAAAACACTTCACTTAACCATTAGAAGTCGAATCAGGCGGTACCACATAAGATTTAACAAAAGAACATCCCGGTCAAAGCCTTAACAAACACGTTTCCAGAGTTGGCTGCACTTGAGCGTTATGGAATGCGTTGACAGTTTTGCCAATCAACGAACAGTATAAAAAAAAATATTAATCTCATGTTGTTGTTTTCTTTTTGCAATCTTGGATCACAAGTTCGAATCCCGCTATAAGCACTGATAATGTAAGCGTTTTTTTCGTGTGTAGGTGAAGAAGGGTTTCCGATGGCTCGTTCGGCAGTGCAGCTACTCCCACAAAATGTCGAGAGGATTCACTGTTTCACAGGGCTAAAGCCCCCCTTCGAATTTTACCGTCATTATTGACTTGTAATTTACTAGTTAATCCATTATACATCATTAGAAGAGACGGTTTTGGAGGACAATACAGAAATGTCTTACGAAAAGAGACTGTGAAGATGTGAATTGTATTGAAGTGGTTCATGGTAAGAGCTAACACCAGAATTTCGTTAAGGTGACAAGTCTTTGGGTCCTTTAGAAAGCAGGGAACTTCTTGATCATCTCGGAGAATTTACCTTTTTTCAATGGATCATACCCTACTGACGTCATGCTATGTTTTGAAACAAGAATTTCAACTGTTAAGGTTTGGAGCGTAGTTGTGAATCCAATTAGTGGTCCCGCTCAACTCTGAATGGCATGGAAAACTTTGCAGATCGATAATCAAGCCACACTGGAAAAGCGAAGGGTGTTTCATCTGATTATCTGAGAACTGGTTCATAAACCCAACGCCAAAGAGACTTGCTCAGATCTCGGGGCAAAACGATATCCAAGACAAGAGTTGAAAGCGGGACTTTCCAAATACGACGTTCTTAGGTGAGATTTCAGGTTACATTATCATACCCTCAGTCCCAAGTTAGAAACTTCATCTCTGACCCGGAATTTGGCTGGAGCGAAGTCTTTTTCTAGTAAATAACGGGATGAAACATTTAGTAGTGACGGAAAATTCCAACACATTTGTAATCAGACTCTGAAAATATTAAACGTAACAAGCTGAGACATCTTTCACACTCTGGCACCCTTAAAAAAATCAAGTTTAATATATTTCTGAAGCAGGAACAAGGTTCAGCACGATTAGGTGAATTTGATAAAGAAATACCAGCATGATCTTGAATGTTTCGGATAATCATACCGCTTCCATCTTCATGGTGAATTGGTGAACCTTCGTTCGCCATACAAGCATGGATGTAATTTATTAGCCAGCTGGGCGACTGTCAGTTTCGTAACAGACACCACGTAAGTCAGTCCCTGAAGATATCAAATTTTACCGTCTTTGAAAAGCTGTTGGCTTTATATTGGTCCTGTTACGTGTACCATGAAATTTATATTCTTCCGCGTCTTTCTCACGGAGTTCACGAGATACGAAACTTTCTGGAGGGCACAGTTTTAGCCAGTTATTTCTGCAGTTTCTCACAATTTTTTCATTACGTCTTCATTTTATGTCAAATCTTACGAAAGGATTATTACATCTTCAAAAGAATCTCGCAGCAGAAACGGAAAAGAGCTCAAAAATACCGGAGACAGAATCCGAGACACAGCGACAGGTGGGGCGTGAAGGGGGTGGCAGGGTTTATGATATTACACGGAACGAAAATAGGATTTTTTCTTCTTCAAATTCGCAGACAATTTGTTGTTTTTATGGCCCCGATCGCAGCGCTACAGGCAGACGAATAGCTTTATTCGATTTACTTTGATTCCTCTCTCGGTTACAGGATCCAATATTGACTCCCGAAACATTCTGAGGTCAGAAGCGATGTAAGTGACACTCAACCCAGTGATATGTCTTGTTCACACTAGTTTAGTGCTAAGACTAGTTACTGGAGCGAGTAACTAGTACTTAGTTACTCGATTAGCGTACACAAATACTCGAATTTTATTTTATTTAGTGTTCTGTCTGACGACAGGTCCATATGAACAGGATCCTTCCATCCTTTTCTCGGACTGGGACCTGTTCATATACGTTCTTGGCAGATGATCCAGAAGTGCTTTGCCATTGCCTTCTTCTGTGTGTGAATGAAGTAATTGTTGGGATGCCACGGAGAAAAACTCCGTGTTGCCTAGCCCACGGCCTTACCCAACACAAGTTATAAATTCGGGCACCACCGGGAATCGAACCCGAGACCCCAGGATTACAAGGCCAGCGTTCTAACCGCTAGACCACCTCATCTTATTATTATTTAGTGTTCTGTCTGAGGACAGGTCCATATGACCAGGATCCTTCCATCCTTTTCTCGGACTGGGACCTTTTCATATACGTTCTTGGCAGATGATCCAGAAGTGGTTTGCCATTGCCTTCTTCTGTGTGTGAATGGAGTAATTGTTGGGATGCCACGGAGAAACCGGGGAAGCCCCCGGAGGAAAACTCCGTATTGCCTAGACCTAGACACAAGTTATAAATTCGGGCACCGCCGGGAATCAAAACCGAGACCCCAGCGTTCTAACCGCTAGACCACGGTGGCTAGTTTCTAAATAAATGACAACAATACATCGCTCTAGTGACTCGCTCTAGTAACTAGTCTTGACACTAAACTCGTGTAAACAAGGCTTAATGGATAGGACTCCTAGGGAGGGCAGAGGTTCATATCTCGGCCGACAGATCAGTTTGCCTTTGACGGTTCCATGGTTCGTTTACACTCCCTTGAGAAAAATGCTTCGCTGTGTTTTAAAACATTTCAACCGCTTCAAACCACAAAGTTTTCCATCCACGATTCACATATGTACCGAAAAGCCTCGTTACACGAAGAAATCAGCCAATAAAATAATTTTTTGGCTTCGTCTATTGTCAGAGAGAAACCACAGAACTTCTACGACTTTTATTGCCTAAGTTTCAGGCCGACACATCTCGACCTGCTAAACCGCCCGAAGGCAATATATGGATATCGATAAGAACTACACAAGATCACCGAGATCTATGTTGTCGGACGAGAACCGCAAATATTTATCACGATCAGGAATCCGATGCATTCATTGATCTAATTCAGTTGAACGGACAGCAACTAAATCTGACCTCCACGCCACTAGACGCGACTCACGATGATGACACTGTGACTGTAAGTACTCAGCGGATTTCGACAAATTTTAGTTTTGTTGAAAATAAATTATATTGAATAAAAATTTTCTTGGATATTATCCATCATCTAGTAAATATAAAACGTAAAACGACGTTTCGGAGATGGGACTCTATCTCCGTCTTCAGGATATTTCTTGAGAAACCTTAATTTTGGTTCGTATGAGGCCAATGTGTTCGCTCATCCTAAAATATATGACATTACAAAAACAAAATTAAAAATAAATATAAATATCTAACTAAGTCCATTGTGCTGAGTCGTTTTTTGAGGATATTTTAGTTTCTCTGAAATTCCCTGCCACAGGAGCCCGATCGTCACCAGATGAACCCGGTCCACGACGTCACAGCCTCTCCGTTTTGCCACGCGTTCTGCTGACCTTTGACCTCGTCCGCGGGAGTGTCTGTGCGGAAGAGGGCCGCCTCGCAGTGGTCGCTCCGCTCCACCGTGAAGTAGACCAGTCTGCTTTCCCCACGACACTCCATCCGCAAGCAGAGCGCTCATTGTGGATGCAGCGGAGACCTGCAACACAGCGGTTTCATTCACTGCAGGTACCCTCATGTCTGCCGGGTCACGACCTCGTGCCAGCTGTCGCCCCAACGACGACGGGAGGAGATGCTGCGGATAAGATCTGTCACAGTCAGCTGCAGAGGAGGACACACCCCGCTGTCATGTCTGACACCCTGCCCTGCCCTGCTGGACCTCGTCAACAGTGCGTCGCGAAATCGTCGTCAGAACTAATGATATCCCAGGCTCGGTCGTAAGCTCAGACATCGACTTACTGACCAATATTTTCGTGGTTTTCCTCAACCGCACAAGCTGATGCTAGTATAGAACCTTAACTTATGAGCAGCCGTTCTGTATTTACTGAATGGGTCCACATGTATGCTAGCTGTGAAGACGTCGCATTAGATAAAATTGGGTTGGGTTAGGTTACGTTATATCAGTTTACGATGCGCATGGTTAGGTTAGGTTATATCAGTTTACGATGCGCATGGTTAGGTTAGGTTATATCAGTTTACGATGCGCATGGTTAGGTTAGGTTAGGTTATATCAGTTTATGATGCGCATGTATGCGCATGGTTAGGTCAGGTCAGGTTAGGTTATATCAGTTTACGATGCGCATGGTTAGGTTAGGTTAGGTTAGGTTAGGTTAGGTTATATCAGTTTATGATGCGCATGGTAATGGCTTCGTAACTAATTCACCTCACGACTTCATGATTTGGTTTATTTAGTTAAATAATGCGATATTTACTGAATCACCTGTGTCATAACGTCCAAGTCTTTACTCTTATTATGTAGACATTTAGTGCGTACATGTGGATACATACATAAGTAGTTTCAAAGGTAGAGACTTCGTTGCGTTCATGCACCGTAAAAGATCAGAATTCTACAACTCCAATTGATATTAAACAATTTTTAACGCATCAAAAGTTGTTTACTGGACTTTTGACACGACATAACATTGAATTGCACTCAAGAGTCAATAATTATCTCTCAACTAGCCAAGAGTACGTATAACCCGTCAAAATTGACGGGAATCAACAACTTGCGAAGTGATCACAAGCTTGCAAAAGGGCGTACGACACATTTTAGCTGAGATTCTACGTTCTCACGAGGATGAAAAAATGTCGATTCTGGTCTTCTGGCTTGTGCAGTTACAAAGATGGTTGCCGACGTTTCGGAGAAGAAAACAGCTCCATCTTTCGGTGTACGTACAAGACCACGTGGGATCACAGTCCAGAGGACCACAACGACAATTACTTCTGGACACCCCTCGGCGAGCGACGCAGTTTCTCTCTTCACTTGTTTGTCACACTGTGCATCATCTTTTGTTGAGCTCGCGGTGACGAGCATCCGGTACTGTTCACTATTGTACCCAGCGTAAAGAAACAGTAACAGTGTCATCCAATCGGCAGTCCGATTCAGTGTCATAGAATGCTACTTGAGAGGCCAGAATAGTATTAAACTCCCATAAAATGCAGTGAAATGAAACCAACACGAAAATGGCCACTCACAAATTATGAAGAACAAAAATTAATCAAGGAGCAATTTTAAAGAATGTAGAAATAGCGAATATGACGCAAGGAGAAAATGTTTAATTGGGTAAAAATATCAAGTTAAGACATCGTCACCCCATCTGCAATCTAAAAACGTGGATATTAAAATACGCAAAATTATAATTTTACCTGTTGTATTGCATGGGTTTGAAACCTGGTCTCTCACTTTGAGGGTCTCTGAGAATAGGGTGCAAAGGGGAATATCTGGACCTAAGAGGGATGAATTGACAGGAGGGTGGGGAAAATTGCATAATGAGGAGTTTCATAATTTGTAATCTTCGGAATCAGGCCTATTAAATAGATAAAGATGAAATGGGCGAGGCATGTAGCGCGCATCTGGGAAATTAGTAGAGAACAAAAATTCTTGGTTGTAAAACCTGAAGGTAAGAGACCACTCGTAAGATCTTGGAGTAGATGGAAGGATAATATTAAAACGAATCTTCGTGAAATTAGTAAAGAACAAAAATTCTTGGTTTATAAAACTTGAAGGTAAGAGACCACTCGTAAGATATTGGAGTAGATGGAAGGATAATATTAAAACGAATCTTCGTGAAATAGGGTTTGGGGGTCGTGAATTGTATTTATCTGGTTCAGGACAGGGATCTGTTGAGGACTAATGTGAACACACCGATGAACCATCGGTCTGAGAAATATATTTTGCTTGTCGAGAAGGACTGCGCTGTAGCTGATCGCAAGATGGTATGAAAATTTCCGACGGTCCAGATATTTTCGAACCTTTGGGCTGTTGACAGCCGAGTACGACGAAGTCGTTGCAGGTGCGTATCTGCGTGACGCAACGGACGTCAAGTGCCCAAACACAGCCACACGACGGTGAGACGCGCTTGCCACCTGGCGAACAATTACCCAGGCCCCATGCATACAAATGGCGTTGTATCTACTCACGTCCTAAGGTAAGGAGTTCATCCAATACGACTAGGATCCAAAAATAGAGGAAGATCAGATTGGCGAGACGTGAAGCACGCATGGAGGAAATTAATATACGTACACAAATTTAAGTTGGAAAATCTGAACAGCAGAAACCAATTGGAATCCAAGGTTTAAATATGAGACTATAACGTTAACATTTTCCCTAGTGAACAGAGTGTGGATTGGACTCAATTAGTTCAGGGTAAGATAAAGTGTTGTGAATCTTTCCACCAATGAGTTAGGTCATAATTACTGGCATCAACACAAACGGAGATACAGTTACGGAAGCCTGCAACATCTCAATCTGTCGGATCTACGCCTGTTAGTGGTTATTATTATTAGTGTTCTGTCTGACGACAGGTCCATATGAACAGGATCCTTCCATCCTTTTCTCGGACTGGGACCTGTTCATATACGTTCTTGGCAGATGATCCAGAAGTGGTTTGCAATTGCCTTCTTCTGTGTGTGATACAATCACCATCACACATTTTGTATAAAGAGGGTAGGGTGTCAATGAGTTATCTCCCGCTACATAAAGATTAGAAATCAGTACCGAGGTTCACACGTAGGTTAGAAAAATTATGTTCTTTTGGGTTTCGACGCCGTTAGACTCGTAGTTTAAACATACCTTCTCCATCTTAAGGGCTGAAGTGGCAATCATGGGAAATGAAGGGATTTTTATATGGTATTTTATTTGGTGTTCTGTCTGACGACAGGTCCATATGACCAGGATCCTTCCATCCTTTTCTCGGACTGGGACTTGTTCATATACGTTCTTGGCAGATGATCCAGCAGTGGTTTGCCATTGCCTTCTTCTGTGTGTGCATGGAGTAATTGTTGGGATGCCACGGAGGAAAACTCCGTGTTGCCTAGACCACGGCCTTGCCCAACACAAGTTATAAATTCGGGCACCGCCGGGAATCGAACCCGAGACCCCAGGATTACAAGGCCAGCGTTCTATCCGCTAGACCACCGTAGCGGTTGTTAGTGGTAGGGTGATTAAATTAGGACGACGCACAGAACGCACATAGGATAACATGGAAGTAAATGATTTTTACTGGCAAACCCCACGCACCTGGTGGCTGCCACTCTTGCTTCGTGTTCGGAAGTTGTGGGTTCGAGATTATCCTAACAGGTTATTTGAGATTAAAAACTCTTTGGGTGTACCAAAATTAGGCCAAGATCGCTTCAATTCACTTCCTTTAGAATTTACTTTTCATAAGCATAGCGAGATTCCAGGTTCTCACGGCGACTTGTATGATGATGGATGCCTTGTGTGTTGGTGGGCAAACTTTTATCGACGTTTAGGAGATACTTGATGCATCCATCATCGCCCTGATGGTGGAGACAGCAAGGACCTCTGAAACGTTCTAAACTTCTACCAGACTACGCGGCGCGACAAACCATATGACGGTCATCTTCATTCATAATTATAATTTAATTTAATAATATTTATATATATATCAAAGAATTAGATTTAGTTGGAATCATAAATTGACCAGTTCAGAGTGTCGAGACGACGTGATTAGCGATTGGTTAACGCTGCAGACAAGCGCCATTTTCAACAAAAATATGTATATCTGTATACGTGCTGCATACAATGACTGAGATTCAAAAAACAGAACCTCATATCTACATTTCACCGTGCATAACTTCTACAGCTCTTGCAAGGTCCTTAAGCCATGGAAGGATTGATAAAATATAACAAAGTGGCTAACTTTTACTTCAAACAGACACTTTGCAGCTTCATGTTAGCTTACATTTACTGCTGTTATGCAACCCGGCACAAAGAAGAGTTAGTTGGGTTGCGGCACAACAATGTAGGCGTAGGCTCACAACTGAGGTAATTACTGTCGGAAAACAGTCATTTTATACGATTAATTTCTGATTCCTCGATGGAAAATGATGTTTGTAATTGATTTACGGATAAAAACAAAGCTTTATCTGAAAATGGAGCTGAGATAGCTCTGTCGGATTAATACGCACTCTACAGGCTGGACAACCGCGATTCGACTCCCGACAGGCAAAGATGTTCTCTTAGTCACAGCGCACAGAAGGCTTCTCGTAAACTCCCCAATCTGGTGTCAAGAATATGTCTCTACTTCTCCATGCGTCTGCATGGCGTGGTACCTCGCTGAAACACCAGGTACTAATTTTTTATTTGCTTTTAGTAGGGTCGAATGAGAGGGCGCCTATTAATGATGGCTTCGGACGAGCGTACAGGGGTAAAGCAGCAACCCACTTATCATGTCTCACCACTGACGTCAATCACTGCCGATATGGAAGCAGACACGTCGCTCACGCACACACATTAACGCAATACGTGAGTGCGTGCCGCCGAGGGCACCACCTGTTGTCAACGCTGACAAACTGCAGTGGGTCCCACCGCTCGTGTTCGGAGTGCCATTTGTTGTTAAGTAGGTTATTTAACAACGATGTATGAAAAGTAGAGACCATTTATCTGCGAACTGGACGGAAGTATCAAGCAATGAACTATGGAAGTAATATCAGGATTATATCCTGTGACTGAGTAAA